TTACAAATGTTTGCAGTATGTACATACCTTTGACATTTATAACATTTGAGTGGTGGTGGAACATAAGCACTTAGATAAACTAATAGGGCTCACTCCAAACAAATCCTGTCCAACCTTAAACTTTAATATAACTTTAAAATCTTCCGTCATTGCTTTCTTTCTTATTTCAGTCCTTTCTTCCTCATCCTCAAGAGATCTTTTTCCARTGTTTATTCCCTTTTTACCTTTATCTCTTCCCCCTCCTCCTTTTCTATTTTCTACCATAGACCACCCTGTATCCATATTCTCATCCTCCGAAAAACCCCCACTACTACTTGCCATCTTGATCCACTCACAATCCGGATTTTGCCAAAACCACCTTTGAAACCAATTAACTTTAAACAGAATCCGCCAAGTGTTAGCAGCTGTCCCCTTTTCTTCTTCTTCTTCGGTCTTCTCTTCTTCTGCTGCTGCTGCTGCTGCTGGATGTCAAAACCTCAGCCTACCGTTGCCTTCTGGGTCATGTAGTTCTTTTAACTTGCGTTACAGCGCAAGCTGGTGGAAAGAGAACTACAAAATGGCGACGCCTGTTCTATGTTTTTTTCTGTCCCGCTCCCGTTAACTTTTCTTCCAAAAACCATCCCAATTAAATAAAAACAACAACAACAACAACAGCAATAATATAAAATAAAAGTAATTAAACTAATTGTGAACATTCTAGTGCCGATTACTAAAATTTAGAACCAGTTTTAGGATGCTTGTGTAATGCCTGAATATAATGTAACCGTAAATATCAATTTTAAAATGTAAACTTTAAGTAATAAATGTGTCTTTGTAATTATAGTATTGTACTCACAAATTGTTAATGTTTGGTATTTACATATACCTGAAAAAAATGTAGCTGTGATTTGGGAAAAAATAAAAATTAAAAACGTCCCAATCACGTTGATTCCCATTCCACAGTGAGGAATCCACGAGAATCACGTGACGTGTCGAAAAGATGTCAGCCTCTACTGTAAACACAGCCTGGTGGTGAGGACCCACTGTTCCGTTCCCGTTGGGGAAAATACTGTTGTGTGGGTCAGAGTTAGGCCRGTAAATGAATGGAAGTCAATGCGAAGTCCCCATGAGAATATAAGAACAAACACGTGTGTGTGTGCTGCATGGCTGCGCTTTTGTGTGTCGCAGAGAAAAAGGAAGGAAGGGAGGAGAGAGCGACCAACGGAATGCGTTCTTTTACGTATGACGTCACATATCCGGCAGAGGCGACGCAGTCCATTTANGTTGTTTGCCAACCGCCAAAAAATAACTAAGAAGAAGAAGAAGAAGAGGTACCCATCCAAGATGGCGGCCGCATAAGGTATGGGACTGACGGAAAGGTCTGTCACTGCCCCGTTCTGCATGCTGCAGCGAAGTGTACTTGGAAATGTCCGCTCCAGTCCGTGAGGTGTCTCTTGTACGTATCTGTTCACGACCACTGTCTGCTAACAACAAATCACCTGCACAATGTGAAAACGTGCTTAAACTATTTWTTAAATTGAATGATTGCTTGACGTCGTTTGAAGAAGACAGTCATCACTTCGAGTTTGCGCATTCATTCTGGTCTCTATAATTTAACACAGGTGGCTGTGTGTCGGCTGGTGGTGTGTTTGGAAGGCTAACTTGAGCTGAGCTACTGAAACTTTTCAGCTCCGAGCGACTCGAGAAAATGGATTCAAATGTTTTCACAGCCATTTCCAAAGGTTGGTGTCCCAATTGTGGTGTTCACGAGCTAAAACTACTTGAATAGCAGAGACCGAGCTAACAAAATGCTACCAAAACCTGCTTGCTAGCTAGCGCAGATTTGCTTGTTTAGCACGGTTTTAACGTTTTAATAAAGGACATTTTAAATTGCACCATTTAATGCGCGTTTATGCATAACAAATCAGTTGGCATTAACAGTTTGAACCTATTTTCAGTGTACATTGCGTCCCTGCTTCCAYAGTTGTTGTTTTTGAACATACGCTGTTGGGCTGCATTCAAGACAAGTGGGTGCTCATAGAAATGTTAATAAAAGTAATTTGTGCACCGAAGCAGCTTCAAACAACACTTTTAAAGCAAACCAGTTTAATGATGTTAAAGGAGGCTAATAATAAAATGTATTAGAAATTTTTTCGAATATTTAGTTTGTCCGTATGTCTAATAGGAAATCAATGCTAAAAGTTTGATAAAATGCTCAGACGCCCCCCTCCCCATATAGATCTTAGATCAAAGATTGACAGACCACCTTTATTGTCATGATACCAAACGAGTCAATATATAAAAGTATAAATATTACGAGGTGAATCACAACAGGAAATTACATCTCAAAAAGTCTCAAGAAATATTAAAAATACTTTATTTCCAGCTTGCTGATTGTGTCCTTCCAGATGATCTTTTACCTTTGGCATCCCTGCGCCTCCTGGTCCCTCCTTTCCAGCTCCTGGCAGCTTCCATGTGGCACGTGTTACAGAAACAAGCTGTGAGGAGCTACTGGGAGGTGGCAGAGTTTGTCTCTCTGGTGGTGGYCATGGTCCCAGAGCTGCTGATGTACAAACACAGAACTGAGCTAAACTTGGGGCTAAGAGCTCGGGTGAGTAGCAGCATGAGATAAAGTATTGAGTTACAATTGAAAGCACAGCGGATGAGTGATGTGTTGGCAACACAGGAGTATTTTTGTTTTTATTTGTTTTTTCCCCCCAGTATATTTTGGAATTATGTCGAAGTGAGCAGCCTGTAAAACCTGAGCTGATCCTCTCTTATTTGGACAAGATGAAATCACCAAACCCAGTCCAGGTAGTTGCTGTTTTTTAATTGTTTTGAACCTAGATTGTAATAATTAGTGCATTGATAGTGTGATCCCTTTTATTTAGGAAATGGAATCGGATGAGGAGGTAGTGAAAGAGAACTTCATTAAGTTGATTCACACTTTGCTCAAGGATCCAGAAAAAAAACTAGATTTTTTCTCGGTAAGAGAATTCTCTGTAGAGAATCTATTTCTGTCTTWTAAGCCCTTTGTAAGTTTCTTTTGTTGTATAGGTATGCTTGATTATAAAAACCAAATAAAATTATTTTAAAAAGGGTATTATGCAAAACAAGCCTTTTGAGCATTATGTCACATTGTATCAAAAATATACCCAGAGTGCTGCTTTGACTCATTCATTATTAAATCTCCTGTGGTAGCCACCTGGACCCAGAAAGGTATTTTCAGGGTCCAAAGTGGTATCATTCGAGTTGCCATTTTCCAAAACTGATTAGGGCTGTGTATTGGCAAGAATTTGGCYATACYATACATATCATGACAGAGGTGTCACGATACGATATATCCCGATATATTGCGATACTATAAGCAAGGCGATATATCGCGATATATTGCAATTTTTTTGTCCAAAAATTTTATTAAATAAAAACCTCTTACAGGGGGGAAAAAATGAAAAACCAAAATTCATTGTCTCAGAAAATTCTAATATTACATAGACATACATTTCTTATTTCATCCATGTTTTCAATTGTTAGACTAAATTTGACAATAAATAGTTTGAAAATATACTTTTTGCAGCTTTTAGTTTTTAATATTAATTTACAATATGGTCACCCAACACTTAACAACAGCCTCTACCTCTTGCCAAATGGCTGGCTCACTGCTGCCAACTAGTGGTCAGAGGCTGAACTACAACATAAAAATMAACGGTTGGCAGGAAAGTTGACATTTTAAACCTTAATAAAAAAATCGATACAGGGCTTTAGAATATTGATACAGTATCGGGAAATGAAATATCGCGATATTTCAGTGTATCGATATTTTCTTACACCCCTAAAACTGATATTATGTAATGCTGCTTCTTTTTTTAAACAACATATATAACGCTTCTACAAAATAAAAACAGCATGAAGCGTTGTTGTGAAGACGTACTGAAGTGGGAGTGTCAGAAATGGTAGGAGATTCTTAAAGGGACAGAGGCCTATTTCAAGGCGTTTAGATAGACTATGATACAAAGTCATTATTTTTAGTATAAACAGCATTTTCATAACAACTGAAAGTAACAGTTACTAAATTGTTAGAAAGAATTGAACCATGTGCCTAGAAGATACAGTCTGTAATCACAGTTTGCTGATTCAAAGGATGTGTTCCCTGTGGAGTATGGCCCTCAGTATGACAGCGACCTGCAGATGCTGTTTTCAGAATTTCTCTGTCGACTGGCTCAGCTGCTGCCAGTACCTGACCTGGAGCAGACTGTCTCTTGGCTCGGAGCTGAATGCTCTCTGTTGGAGGACTGTGTTAAGACTGTTTCTGAGCCCTCGGACCTGAAGAATCTGCTCCAGCACCACAGGCAGCTCGGGCATTTAGAGCAACATGGTAGGCCTTCTTTCTGTCAACTCATTTGTTGTAATGTTGACTGTCGTTTATGTTGTTTTTTTTCTCTGTAGTTCCCCCTGCTAGCATGGGCAATGGTATCCTCACCTCACTTTCTGCCTTACCGTCTCAGAAAGAGGCACCAATGACTGACCAGCCCCAGACAGACCCACCACAGGAGCTCATTGACAACATGTGGACTGTGATGGTAGTGGATGATATTGTTATGGAGATAGTTACGGTTTCTGATTATGCTGAGGTTGAAGTCAGCGCGACCCCAAACATCGAAGTGGTTAACAGAGAAAACTGCTTTGAAGGCACTGAAGAGAACGGGACAGAGGAGGCTGAACACTCAGCATCCTCCCAGGAGAAAATTACCACAGGCCGGCATGACTGCCCCGACTGTGGAAAGAGTTTTAAGTTTGCCTCTTTGCTGCTGGCGCACCAAGTCATTCACACCGGAGAACGCCCGCACCGCTGCAGCAACTGCGGCCGCTGCTTCTCCTTCAGGCAGTCCCTCGACCGACACAAACACACCCACAGAACGGGACGTGCGTACGGCTGCGTTGTCTGCGGGGAGACCTTTCATTCATCGTCAGCTTGTACTTCACACAAACAAACGCACATGGAAGACAGAGTTTACACGTGCCATCGCTGCAACAAACGGTTCAGCTGGGAGCTGACCTTTGTCAAACACCTTAAAACTCACAATGAAGATGGTGACGTGTCCACAGGGAGCTCCGGGGAAAGACCTGTTGTAGACAACACTGAGGAGACGGAAGTAGAAGCTGCTGAACCCGGCTGTCCGGTCCAAGTAGATGATCAGCGTCTACCAAGAGGAGCGTGTCAGAGCAATGAGCCGCTCGCCTCTGAGCCAGGAGYTCCTGCTGCAGAACAAGACGTTGTCCTTCCAGCAAACGTCCGCACAAGTGGACGCCAACGCAGGCCGACAATGAAGGTCCAGGTGCTGAATTTACAGAAACACATGGCCACTAAACAAAAGGATGTCACCCGGGTTAGTCCTGCTGCACAGGAGCTTTCGCCTTTCATCAGGTAAAATCAGCAGTGTGCCTCATTAGTTTGTTTTGRTGTTTCTTGTGGTGGACAGCTAAAATGAGCTCCATGATATTATTTTTCTGTTTCAGCTCAGAACACTCTTATGGGTCATTCAGGGCTTCAAAGGATGGTGATGAAAGTAAGTATTCACCGTCAAAACTAAGGTTTAAGGTTCTTCTCACCTAAACAATACGGTGCTGGTTTGACTTAGGAGTGTCCCAACTGAAGAGATTTTTTGAGATACTCTCCTGAAGTTTTGCTTCGAGTTCAGAGCTAAATTTCAGGTTACAAGCCAGCGTCAGACACCCCATGTCTAGTTGGGGCAGCAAATGCCACAGTGAACATCCGCCCAGCATCCCGTGTCTCACTTGTTCGCTTTAAGCGATTAGCTCCCAGTTAGCATCAATTTTATGTTTCTATTTGTGCTGCAAATATTTATTTTCAGTTCAGCTTTTTCCTCCATCACCATTGTCAAGTTATCATCTTCAAGGTAAACACTGTACATTAAACCAGTTTATTGTAGTACATTTTTGTATTGTTTTTATACAGTATTTGTTATTTCTAAGTACATTTTTCACATTTAAAAACATGTCAAAAATTGTAATTTTGAAGGTTCTGGAACAAATTAATGGCATTTCAATTCATCTCTATGGGGGAAAATCTATATTACATTTGAGTTACTTGCTGATCAACAGAACAAATTAAATTCGTAAGTCAAGGCACCACTATATTCTGAAGCAAAAACAGGAAAAAAAAAGGTAATCACTGTTTCTGTGTGTTTTTCATGAACCATTGGATACATTTTAAGCTGCTTACATTTTGGAGTCGACCTAATCAATCTTAGCAAACACAAATATTATTATATTTCAGTCAATTTGTGGTAACAGCTGAGTTATTCCCAATATGTACTCTGAAAACTAACATACAATTTTTTTTTAAATAAGTCTCGGTTTACAATTTGATAATTTTGAATGAAATTGTTGCATTTCTGTTGTGGTTTGGCTGTTTTTGCGCACAGACGGCTGCACTCAGTAGTGTTTCTGTGCTTTCCCAAGTCACTGAACAGCAGCAGATTGTTTGTGCTGCTTGCATATCGACCTTATTCCTGGGGGCGCTGCTGTAGAAATGATTGAGTCCAAGGTCCTGTCAGAAACACCAGAAGTAACAGTAAGCTAAGGTAGCGGAGCACAGACTGCAGTGTATTTGAAAGTAATTTAGCAGAACAAACTGTTTTTATTTTGATTACATTTATTTAACAACTATAGATTTTACTAAAGTGGCTTTAAGGAGTTCAGGACCTGTTGCATCCCTCTGAAAAGCGGTATAGTTTCAGAAGAATCAAGAAGTATGTAGCTGAAAAATCGGAACCTGAAGAAACCACTCAACTGACTTTGTTGACAAATTGCAGACAAAGGAAAACCTGCATTCTACTACTACTATTGTGGATTGATGAGATGCTGGATCCTCAAAAGGATTGAAGCAAACTAATGTTTTAACAGAGACAAACACAGACGCACTCATATTGACAGAAAGTTAAATTATTGATATTATTGATTGCTGCCATGAAAGGCAGACAATAAAAACTAAATTTCACAACAATTGTGTAATTTTGGCTTTTTTTTTCTTCTTTTTTTAACACACATTAGCTATGTTTACATGTGCAAAATTCTTTGATCGGATTGAAATGTATTCGAATTAAATAATTGGAATGTATTGTTTACATGGGCACAATCCGATCATGACGTGTGGTTATATGCACCAGGCTTTTATTCAGAATAGAAGCACTGAGATGCGCAGTTGCTAGCTTTCCCTTAAAAACCACAGAAAAAAGTTCTACTTCCGTGATGAACGTAAACAGCTTCTGAGCTCAGAATGGACCTGCGACAGGTTTTAATAATGGTGGAGACGTTACTGCACTCTGGTTCAGCTGCAGGTGATGTGCAGACTTTTTTTTTTGTTTTGCAAAGCGGTGCGGTGCGCCGCAGGCTGTGTGTATTCCTTCTTTATTGAATGAGAAAACGAGAGGAAAAGTTCTGTACTGCTGAAAATCGCTGGATGAAAGTCAGCAGACATGCGCAGTCAGGTCAGTTTTCCACAATCAGAATAAGATGTTTACATGCACGTCCTTCGAATTATCAATAGGCATAAACCACCTCTCTCGTTCCGATTACAAATTCATTCAGATGGAGCTGAATCGGGTTAGAATAATCCGAAAGGGGTGTTTACATGACGCATTTTTATTCTGAATGGCTGTTTAATCCGATTACTTATGTTCATGTAAACGTAGCTAATGATCAGAAAAAATTAGGCACATTTAATTATTTATTTCCTATTAACTCAGTTCACAGTGACTTAAACCGGAAAGGGTACAAAAAATGATGCTTTTAAATTTTTGCTCATATTTTTATGTCGTTTCTCCGTAAGGTTCYCCGACAGATACCTCAGCAGCTGCTTTCTCCTGTCCCCAGTGTCCCTTTCACAACTCTGAGAAGGTGCAGGTCCTGCAGCACACCGACAAGGTTCACCCTGGGGATGCTGTGGGGGACAAGTCGTCCCCTCAGCCACTCCCCAWTGAAGGACGCTACAGTTGTTCCCACTGCGGGAAGATGTTTCGATTCCAGTCTTTACTGAAAGCCCACCGGCGCGTCCACACAGGCGAGCAGCCTTTCTCGTGTTCGCAGTGCGGTCGGCGGTTCTCCTTTAAACAGTCTCTGGAGAGGCACAGGCAGACGCACGAGACCTGCGGGGAGCCGTTCGCATCAGCGGGGGAGCACCATCACGGCGTGAAGAACGGGGAGCACTTGTGTTCAGAGTGTGGCCGGGTGTTCGCCTGMAAGTCTGCTTTGGTGAGGCATGTCCGGACTCACGGCTTGGGTACGGACAAGGCGAATGACTCATTTAAATGTCCTCACTGTGAGCTGGTCTTCAGCTGCGCCAGTCGTGTCAGCCGCCACCTTCCGACCCACTCAAAGGAGAGGGGTCACACCTGTAACTGCGGGAAAAGCTTCGCCTACCGGGCTGCTCTCACGGCGCACCAGCGCATTCATCTAAAGGAGCGACCTCACAGGTGCGCACAGTGTGGAAAGGGCTTTATTTATAAGGGCGGCTTGCTGAGCCACATGAAGATCCACTCCGAGGAGATGCCCTTCATGTGCTCCTTCTGCGGCAAGAGCTTCAAGAGGGAGCGCAACATGAAGAAGCACGAGCGCTGCCACACCAGAGAGAACGTCTTCAGCTGCTCGCAGTGCGACAAGAGCTTCGTGTACAAGGCCACGTTGATCCGCCACGAGCTGACGCACTCGGGCAACCGGCCGTACCTCTGCTCCGACTGCGGCAAAGGCTTCTTCTCCCACGCGGAGCTTCTGAAGCACGAGCGCTTCCACACGGGTCACAAGCCTTTCCAGTGTCCTTACTGTGGCAAGAGGTTCACCCAGTCCTGCTACCTTACTGTCCACCTGCGCTACCACACGGGACTGAGGCCGTACTCCTGCTCCGAGTGCGACAAGAGCTTCCTGAGCGCCAATCGGCTGAAGAGGCACCAGCGGACGCACTCTGGAGAAAAGCCTTACCTGTGTGGGAAATGTGGGAAGAGATTCAGGCAGTCCTATCATCTRAAAATGCATCAGCGGACTCATTCTTAATAAATCAAGACTCTATGCTCTAAAAAAAAAAACTTGACATTTTACGATTTTTAAATTTATATTAAAACTTTAGAAGAGTAACTAATGTGACTTCACTACTGTGCAGATATGTTCTTAGTKAGTATTGTGCACTGTGTGTAATGTAGTTGGTCAAAGGGCATGTATCCACAACAGAGAAATGTGCAATATGTTAATGAATTAAAGGTCTGCTCTTGAAGGAATGAACACTGTCTGGCCAACAAAAGGGTCACACACACTAGTATTTTGTTGGAAACCAGTTTGATTCTGGTATGCATTTGCTGTGGCATTATATCGATAAGCTTTTGCACAATGTCGCAAGATTTATTTCCATCCAGTGTTGCAATAATTTAAGTTCTTGCATTGATGATGGTAGAGTCTGACCTTCTCCAGCACATGCCAAAGATTCTCAATGCATGAGTGAGTTTGCATGATAATGAATTCATGAAAAACATTCTATAAAAAAATCCATTTTTATTTGCAAGCAAGTTCTACAACTTTTTTTTTTTTTAAACAGACTGGGACAGTTTGACAGCAGTAGTTTTCAGTAACAGAAAAATCCTTTTAGAAAATCAGCTTAGAAATTGTTTGAGTCACAAGCTTTAGACATGAGCTACAACGTGGAGTATTATATCTGAAAATCAAAGGAAGGACTAAAAACACCTGAACTACAAGGACCGGGGCGGGGYGACAGCTTGGGACCAGTTGGAATTACAGGACAGGCTGACCTACACAGCTAAGTGCAGAGTAATGGGGCAGTGGTCGCTCCCCATCGCCTTGTTCCGGATCTTACTGTCACATAGGCCGGGCAGAAGGGAGGACGACAGCAGGAAATAATCCAGCCTCCAGCCTACGTTCTTGGAGCGGGCATTCATCATGTAGGTCCAGAACGTGTAGGCGTTGGTCTGCTCGGGGTAGAGCTCGCGGAAGCTGTCAACAAAACCGGCCGCCAGCAGCTGGCTGAAGCCTTCGCGCTCCTCTGGGGTGAAGCCCGCGTTCTTCTTATTGCCCTTGGGGTTCTTCAGGTCAACCTCCTGGTGGGCTACGTTGAGGTCGCCGCACAGCACCAGAGGCTTCTGCATGTCGAGCTCGCTCAGGTAAGCTCGGAAGTCTACGTCCCAGGTTTTGCGGTAATCCAAGCGGACGAGGCCCCGGCTGGCGTTTGGAACATAGGCCGTCACAAGGTAGAAGTTTGGGAATTCGGCAGTTATGACGCGGCCTTCCTTGTCGTGCTCCTCTTTTCCTGAAAGATTGGAGGGGAAAAAAAGGTAAATTTAGGGTAAAGTATTAAACGTGATTTCAGGCTCTGAAATAAAAATCTTACTTCCTGTAGCAGTAAAGTGGGCATAAAAACTGCACACGCAGTTAGAGGTCATCTGATGTGGACCTTGTTAAATTGACATTTGAGGCGGCATGGTTTCACTAATGGYACAGAGGTTGCTCTGAGGTTAGCAGCATCCAGGGTTAAACTAAATGTACTGCATCAAAATCTTGTGATTCAACACCAGCCTCCAAAGCTGTGCAAAAATTACACAAGGATAGTCCAGCAAATAACAGGACAACAAAAGCACTTTAAGATGAGGAGGAAGGAGCATGAGAAGTTTGAGAAACACCAAGGGCTGAACAAGGAAATTGGTTGTGGAGAGTCACAAGCTGCATCCTCTGAATGCTGAATGTGTCAGCCGCTTACGTCACTGRGCCGTGGCAAAGGCTGTCCAAATTCGAAGACTCTTTCGATGTAGCCCACAAATGCGTCCTCCTTTTGCCCTGATTTGAGGGACGGTCCAGTGGATCCTTCTTGGTCCACTATATCCCAAAATGCATTGAGAGTCGACCAGAGATTTTTTTTCTTGTAATGGTGGACAAAGTGAGAGACGGGTACAGTTTTAAATTAAAATCTGGCGGTATAAAAATGTAACGTTAGAAGCGATTGTTTTGTTAGACTTATTTGCATTGACACGATTTTATTATTATTCTTGTCAGAAATCAAGCAAGCTCGTACGGTGGGTTCCTTGTATTAGGGGTGCACCAATTGCATTTTTCTGGCCTATCTTCGATCACCGACCTTTAAAAAGTCTGCTTTCTAGCAGACATCTTAAAGTTTTGGGGCTAAATCAATGAGCAGCCAGAACTTCATAATTTCATCTATGTTCATCAGTATGCTGCCACCTATGTTTCAAGTTTTTTGTATCCTAATTGAGACTGCTTCACAGTGAAATCCTTCTGATGGTTTGTTTGAAACTGAGCAAATGTAGAAAAAAAAACAAACAACCCAACCACCCCCAAATCTTATCTATTTAACGGTCACTTATATAAATGGTAGTTGTGTTCCTAAAAAGACTGGATGCTGTAAAAAAAGTTTCAAATAAAATATTAGTTTTAGGGTGTGCACTTTTTTACAGTCAGGGTATTGAACCTTTATCTTTTATTATACTTCTTTAGCTGAAATGATCCGCGACACCAAAAGGTGGAAAAATTTCAACATGATTTTTCATCGTCTCATTTCTTTTATGTTGCAAAAAGTGTGTTTACTTTTAATATCCACGTACTTATTACCATATTTATCTGTTCAAAATTTAAATGCAATACACAAAGACAGTATTGTATAGAATAAATATCTTTTTACAATTTTCTTCTAACTTTATGTAAGAAAATTTCAAGTTTGATAAAACTACACAACATAAATGTAACTAAACTAAGTGCTCAACCATTTTAAACACAAGTGACACTCACCAATTCCATATGTCACTTTAATGGGTTCAGTTTTGCACAACATGGCCACACCGCTGTACCCCTCCTTGTCATCTGATACAGCCCAGTACTTATGGGGGTACTCAGGCATCGAGGTGATCTCAGCAGGAAGAGCTTTTTCTGAGCACTTTGTTTCCTGAAGGCACAAAACATCTGGAGCCTCCTCGCGCACCCACTGAGGAATAATAATAATAAACACTTATTCTGTTAACAATAAGTCTGTTTAAGTGGTTTATTTCACCGCAAACTCACATCTAAGCCCTTCTTTTTGACCCATGCTCTCAGCCCATCCACATTCCATGAGGTGATCTTCAGGTTGGCCTRGCGTCCGTCTTTACTGGTCAGTTTGTCCGGAGGGTCTTCGTACAAAATCGGAGCCTCCGGTTCTTTGGTCTTCTTTGCTTTCTTTGCAGAGGCTGACATGAAAAACAGAATGACACAAGTTGGGAATATATACAGTGGTTTGCAAAAGTATTCATACCCCTTGAACTTTTCCATATTTTGTCACATTACAACCACAAACATAAATATATTTCAC